GAAGAGATCCATACAGTGCCCATTTCAAAGAAAGGTGATCCAACAGAATGTGGAAATTATCAAACAATACCATTAATATCACAAGCAAGTAAATTTTGCTGAAGATAATTAAAAAATGGTTGCAGCAGTATATTGACAGGGAACTGCCAGAAATTCAAGCTGAATTCAGAAGAGGACGTAGAATGAGAGATACTGTTGCTGAAGTCAGGTGAATCTTTCTTGTTAGAAGGATGTTTACGTGTGTTTTATTGACTGTGCAAAGGCATTCAATTTTATGGATCGTAACAAATTATGGAAAACATTGCAGAGAATGGGAATTCCAGAACACTTACTTGTGCTCATGAGGAACCTGTACATAGACCAAGAGGCAGTCGTTTGAACAGAACAAGGGGATACTGCATGGTTTAAAATCAGGAATGGTGTGCATCAGAGTTGTATCCTTTCACCATACTTATTTAATCTGTATGCTGAGCAAATAACTTGAGAATCTGGACGGTATGAAGAACATGGCATCAGGATTGGAGGAAGACTCACTAATAACTTGTGATATGTAGATGATACAACTTTGCTTTGCTGAAAGTGAAGAAGACTTGAAGCACTTAATAATGAAGATCAGAAACTCCAGCCTTCAGTATGGATTACACCTCAACATAAAGAAAACAAAACCCCCCCACAACTGGTCCAATAAGCAATATCATGATAAATGGAGAAAAGATTGAAGTTGTCAAGGATTTCATTTTACCTGCGTCCACAATCAACATCCATGGAAGCAGCAATCAAGAAATCAAGTGGCGTATTGCACTGGGCAAATCTGCTGACCTCTTTAAAGTGTTAAAGGGCAAAGATGTCACTCTGAAGACTAAGGTGAGCCTGACCCAAGCCATGCTATTTTCTATAGCCTCATATGAATGTGAAAGCTGGACAATGAAAAAAGAAGACTGCAAAAGAATTGATGCATTTGAGTTGTGTTGGTGAAGAAATGTTGACTATACCATGGATTGCCAGAAGAATAAACAAATCTATCTTGGAGGAAGTACAGCTGGAATGCTCCCTAGAAGCAAGAATGGCCTGTCTTCATTTCTCGTTCTTTGGTTATATTGTAAGAAGGGATCTGTGGTAGTTAAGATTGTGTATCAACTTGGCTGGGCCTGGTTGAGTGGCTGGGCAGCTGACTGTAGTTATTCCCCATGGTGAGATTGGTAATTAACTCCATGGTGGAATTTATTGGAACAGCTGAGTAGCTGCTTTAGGGATGAAGTCTGCTTCCCATATATAAGAAACAGCTTTGGGAATGGTCTCTAGTTCGTGGCATGCTTGAACCCTGCATGTAATTATGTAATTGTTCAGAAGGTTGCCATGCTCTGCCGATCTTGGGACTTTCAGTGGACTTGAGTTGATGGCCTGCCGTGTGTGGTTTGGTAACATCAGGACTGTGCCTTTTTACTTGTCAACCTTGGGCTTGTCAGTCTCAGCACCCAGCAGCTGTCTGAGTGAACAAAACAAGCCTCTAGCTTCAGTGGGCCGGGAGCAGGAGGCAGAGCTGAAGCCCAAGGTTGAGGGGCTTTCACCCAGCCCCTAAAGCCTGGCACTTTGAACTCGCACTTAAAGCCTCCAAACTGTAAGAGAACAAACTCCTGTTTGTTCAAGCATCCCATTTGTGGTATGTTCTTGTCAGAGTGGCACTAGGTAACCACAACAGGATCAATCCCTGGAGAAGGATATCATGCTTGGTAAAGTAACAGGTCAGCGAAAAAGGAGATGGATTGATACAGTGGCTGTGTTGCTGGGCTCAAGCATGGCAACAACTGTGAGGATGGTGGGGGACTGGGCATTCTGTTGTACCTAGGGTTGTTATGAATCGGAACCAATTGGACACTTAACAACGAGGTAATTCCATGTTTACCTTTTTGAGGAACTGCCAAACTGTTTTCTACAGCAGCTGCATCATTTTACATTCCCATTATCAACAGATGAGGCCGACTCTCACTCTTGATCATATCACCTTGTTTTATTTTCATCACCCTTAACACTGTCAGAAATTGTCTTCTTTACTTATTACATCTCTCTTCCAGAATGTGAGGGCCACAAGGGCAAGAACTACATCTGTCTCATTTCCTGGCAAAAGTTGGTGCTTAGTAAGTATACACTGAATACATGAATGAGTAGGATGTGCAAAGGGCCGTGTTGAGTTCCCATTAATGACAGTCCTGTGTGGCTGGAATGAGGAAGAGAGGGAGAGCATGCAGGGCCTTGCAGGGATGGTGGGAGAACCCAGAGATGCGTTATGTCTTAGTTATCTGGTGCTACTATAACAGAGAATTGACTCGATGGCAGTGGGTTGGGTGGCTGTAACAGAAATATCACAAGTAGGATGGCTTTAACAAAGAGAAATTTGTTTTCTCACAGTCTAGGAGGATAGAAGTCCAAATTCAGGGTGCCAGGAAGGTTTTTTCTCTCTTGGCTCTGGAGGAAGGTCTTGTCTCCTTGAGCTTCTGCTCCTGGGCAATCTTCATGTGGCTTTGCATCTCTCTTCCCCATCTCTGCTCTGCTCCCTCGTTTAATCTCTTTTATATCTCAGAAGAGACTATCTCCAGATACACCCTACACTAATCCTACCTCGATAACATAACAAAGACACCCACTACCAAGTGGGATTATAAACACAGGCATAGAGGCTAGGATTTACAACATTTTGGGGGACACAATTCAATCCGTAACATGTTGTAAGTGTGACTGTGAGAAACATGCTCAGATGTTTTTAAAAGGCCATACTGGTTGTTATGCATGGTTAGATTGAAGGGGAAGATAGATATCAGGGGAAGAGGCCACCAGTGGTTTAGGGTGATGGATGGTGGTTTTGCACCAGGGAGGAGGGTATTGAGGGAGTAAAGAGGAAGAACTGACATGATTTGGGATTGTGTGGATGTGTGGGAAACCAGGGTCAGGGATGTCTGCCAGGGCCCTGATGGGGTCAGGGACACAGGATGATGTTGGTCACAAGATGGGGCAGGGCATGAGAGGAGAAACAGATTTAGGGGCAAACCTGTGAATTCAGCTCATGATGGGATGAATGTGAGGTGCCACGCAGGGAGACATCTAATGGGGCTGTCAGGTGAGTGTCTGGGCACATGTGCAGAGCAAGCCTGGGCACGGACAAGGTCACCTAAGGACTGTGACAAGGTCTCTGAGACCTGAGGACCCTACCATCTCACAGCAAAACTGACATAGGAGCACAAGAATGGCAGAAAATAGAGGATGGGGCAACACAGGCACTTAGAGAGCTCTTGAAGGTGGATGGGAAGGTGTCCAAGGGATGTCCAGATGTGGCAAAGGGGTTAAGGAAAGGTCCTTTGTATTTAGACTGGATGTCACTACTTGCATTAGTGGGTTCAGCCTTCCTGGATGATGGGGCTGGATGCTGAGAGCAGTGGGAGGTGGGGACATGCAGGAAGCAAATGTTGACACCGTTTTGGGATTTGTCTATGAAGGGTAAGAGTGAGGGGGAGATATTTGGGGGGAATCACTGGGTTGATGGAGGGTTCCCAAAATGAGTATGTTCATGAAACCATAGGAAGATCCTGCTGAGAGGCAGCAGTTGTACCCATGAGTGGGGGATCCCTGGTGAGAGGAGGTTCCTGCTGTAGCAATGAGATGGGATAGGTCCCAAAGCCCAGTGGGCAACTCTGCCTGGGACCGGAGGACAGAGAAAGATGGAACAGGTGTATCTGCAATTGACCTCTCTTTTCTCACTGATGAGGGAGACCAGGTCCTTCACTAACTGGAGGAAGAGTGAGTATCTGAGGTTTGAGGGGACAGAATCCACTCTAGGTATTCTGGAGGACGGGAGTGCCAACTGTCCAGAGGGGCACGGTGAGACTGCTGACAGGGCTGGGGGGCTATGCCGGATCAGTCAACCCAAACGCTGAGCATCCCTTGCTACTCAGAGCCGTGCTGAGTGTAAGCAACAGATGATAGGCTTTTAGGCAACTGGCCAGAAGCTTCCTGAAATGCTCGTCCATGCTAGCCGAGTGGTCAAGGGGGAGTGCAGTGGAGGTTGATGTGGTCTCTGACAGATTGTCATGCCAAGGCCCCCACCTAGCCATCTGGTGGGCAGAAGTCCTAAGCTTATGCCAAAGACCCAATACTGATTCCCCAGCTGTGAGCTGGGCCAGAACCACCTCTGTCCCAGTCCCAGCTCTTTCCCAAGTGTTCATCAAAAGGCTGGTCCAGAGGAGGCACCCTAAGCACTGTTACTACAGGAACCAGGATATTCTGACCTGAGGCCAATACAGGGGCCAGCTCCCCATCCCCCAGCAGCCCAGCTCCCAGCTTCCCTGGTCAAGAGTGGCACAGAAACAAACACATGATCAACTTTATTGTTAAACTCTCCTGAACAGGCCAGCACTGGGCTGGGGGACTAGGCCTTCATGAGGAGTGGTCAGTCTGGGGGCCCAGTGTGGCCACCCTAATGTGCCCTGATGCCTGATGATGATATCAGGGTCTGTCAACCCTTCCCCTAGGCTTTCCAAGTCCAGAAGTCCTTGTAGGGCCTGGGACTGTGTGAGACTTGAGAAAGATGCCTTTATAGGGGAGCAGGACATGGTGGAGAGAGATCACGTGCCTCCTCAGAGTCTGCTAAATCCAACATCAGCATGTGACAAGAGGAAACTGCAGCAAGAGGGTAGAACTCAGGAGAAAAAGTGACAAGGAGTCTGAAGGTGAGGTGGAGAGGCCAGCATCTTTCAGGTCCTGGGCCAGAAGTAGGTGAGGAGACTTTCAGCTATCCCTCCCTCCTGGCTTTTGGAAGGGTGAGCAGGGGAGGAGCAGAGGTTCTGGTTGGTCAGGGGTGAGTCCTGAATAGCTCCGTTCCATGGGCATGACTACAGGGCAGCCAGGCTTGAGGGGCCTCAGTGCCTGAACCAGTCCTGCTGACTCCCACCCCTGGTCCCTGCCCTGGAGGGAAGCAAAGAGGAACTAACAGCTTCATCTCCTACTGGCCTTCACCGAACCTTCTTGGTCGCCTTCTGGTTCTTCAGCATCACATAGGTGATGAAAATTCCTGGAACACACAGACCACACAGGCTAGATAAGACCTGGGCTCAGGGCTGCTGGAAGGCCAGGGCAGGGCATGCCATGGCACAGCTGAGTGACCCACATGCAGGGCCCTGCACCTACTCTACCATTCTCCAGGCCACCTGGTCATCTTTCTAGTCATTGATCAAGCAGCAAATTCACTCACATTCATTCAACAAATGGAATGGAGTACCTACCACACGTAAGACCTCCATTTGGTGTTTGAAATTTCATGGGGAACAGGACCCACTCATCTATCCATTTACTTATTCAATCAACCCTGGCCCACCTACCTACCCACTCACCCTTCTGCCCATTCAACACCCATCCTCTATGCACCCATCTATCCCATCATCCAGTCATTCAATTGTTGACCCATCCAAACCACTTTCTTGAGCCCCAACTCAGTGCCAAACCCTGTGTCAGGTGCTGTGAACAAAGTAATGATTAAGACAGAATTTCGGCTCTTAGAAAAGCCCACAATACTAAACCATGGGAGATAGAGAGGTGCAGGAATTACAAACAAAAGGGTGACAAGAGGATGAGAGGTGACGGAGGTGATGATGGTGGTAGTGGTAGGAAAAAGGCAGACATCTCTTTAGAGTCTTCTGAGCTCAGGGCATAAGAAGACCAGAGGAGTCACCATTGAAAGGGAATAGGAAAACTCCAGCAGAAGATTGGGGACAATGGGCCTCAATTGCCAAAGTGTGGAAGTATTTTCAAGGATGGGAGAAGGTCATGGGGGCCCTCCACACAGCCCCGCCCAGAGCTAAGGGAGTGATGACTTACCTACAAAGAGGAGCAGCAGGAGGCCCGCGGCCAGTGGGATGGCGACAGCATAGGCTCGGGGCAGGAAGTACTTGTGGATGACATGCTCGCTGTCGATGAATGGCTGGCACCGGGGGCAGAGCTCTGGTAAGCATCATTAGCCTTGCCTAGGCTCCCTCAGCCTCCTAAGCCCAAACGTCCCACTTCCTCTGTCCAAAGGGCCAACTGCATCGGGGCACTGGGACAGCATTTGCATTTGCTTTTCTTTAAGATGAAGGCATTTGAGTTTCTTGGTTTGTTTCCATTTGTTTAATGGTTGTTTACTGGACACTTGTTTGGTGGGCTCATGCCCACTCAAGCCACCCACCCTGGGTTGGTGCTGGGGATTGGCAGTGAACAGAAGACCTGTGCTAGGGCAGTTACAACCTAACGGGCAAGAAGTTCATGAGGGATCCTCAGAGTCCCAACCTGAGCTCCAAGGTCTTTTTTTTTTTTTTAAATTTTAATTCCAAGGTCTTCTTTACTACCATTTTTCTCTGAAGGATACCAAGTTCTGCAAGATTTTGCCTTCCAAATACACTATACTTCCTAAGCAGTAACTGACAAATTTTCCCCATGTAAAAAACATACCAAAGGCCCTCACAAAATCCATTAGCACTAGCCGTGCTTGGAAAGTAAGAGAATGAAAAGAACTAGAATTCCCATCAGAGGCAAAGCAACTGAGGAACAGGGCTTTACAGTGTAGCAGTTAAGCATAAACCTTGGGCCACGCCGTTCTCCCTGAGCACCAGCTTCCTCATCTTAAAACAGGGACACCACTAGCATCTTTCCTCAGATTAGATCTTCCGGGGATTGGGTGAGGTAAGTCAGGTAAAAACACCTAGCACAGTGTTTGGCACACAGTAGTTTCCTCAACTGTTGTTAGGGTCGGTGTTAGGGATGGGGGTAGGTGAATAGAGGGCAGGGGCGACGTACCAAGAGAATCACCCAGACGGTGTAGTAGGTGAAAATGATCAGGCTAACAGCGACGAGGCCGAGTCCCACCACCTGGTCTGTTCCCGTGGCCTGGAGAAAAGGGAGGGCTCCGCTGAGTAAAGTGACGCCGGAGAGGGGCAAGGTGGGGAAGAGGCGGGGAGGCCTCGCAGCCTGATTATGCTCTAAACTTCCCATTCATTCAATGGATATTGAGGGCTGACTTCTTGTTATGTGCTGTCAAGTCGGACCCGACTCATAGCGACCCCTCCTTGGGTTTCCGAGGTAGTATTACTACGTAAGTAGATTGCCCTATCTTCCTTCCGAGGAGTGGCTGGTGGGTTTGAACCGCCAGCCTTCTGGTTAGCAGTCAAGTGCCTTAGCCACTTTGCTACCAGAGCTCCCTGAAGGCTGACTAGAGAGTCAGTTTCCAGGCTAGGCAAGTGTTACCATTTGTCATTTGTACAATGCGTTTTCATTTGTACAATGCGTCGGCGGGAAGGCAACCCCTGTTCCGAGTGCCGAACATCCAGCTCCTGAGCAGAACCCAGCCACGGCCCTATATACCCCCAACACCCCACGCTCACCCCAAACTCACCATTACCCCCACGTTCCGACGCCGGAGCAGCAAACCACTTCCGCTTCCGGATCCGGGACCTTCTTGCTTTGACCCGTGGGGAACGCCGGGAGACGTAGTCTTCAGAGCGCCTAGGACCACGTTCGCCAAGACAGGCAAGCACTGCCTGCTCTTTGCATGTTGTAAAATGAAGCTTCTCAAGGGCGCTGTGAGGAAGATTGGGCTCTGAAATCCCCAGTCATTTCTGGTCCCTAACTAGCCTTTTTTGGGGGAAGGATACAGAGAATGTTCACTGCCGAGTCTCAGGTGAGTGACTAGCTTGAGTCCGCAGAAATGTGGGTATTTGGATTGGCAGAGGAGAGTCCCCTACCAACACCTGCTTCTCCAGCGACCCTTCCTGTGTTCCTCTTCACTGCAGGGGTGGGGCCAGGGATCCATCCCTCTCTTCACCGTCTGCCTAGGGCGTCGTAGAAGCTCGGACACACGTTCAGACTGGTCTTGTGATGGCAGGGCCTCTACCTCCCATCCCCTTCTCCCATATTGGAGGCCTTTTCCTCTTAGGTGCAAGAGGAGATTGGGCCAGAACAACTTTGACATCTCCTCCAGCTGCAGGGCATAGAACAGAATCCCCGCAGCTCACAGGGCTGGCAGCTCCTCATCCATTAGGTCTCATTGGTAATCCCCTAGGGAGGCAGCTTTGGCATCTGGAGGCAGGGGCTCCCTCTTGTCATCGTGTTTTACTTGGATAACTTGTTGGTCTGACCCACTGTGAGCTCCCTGAGGGTAAGCCATGTGGTCACTGCTGTGTCCAGAATGGAGTTTGGCATACATCCCTCAACTAGTTGTAACATTCTGTGAGTTTTTATTTTTTTGAAAGTACATCTGGGTACTCCAGGCCTCCCTCAGGAGGCCCTAGACCTGTTTTCTTCCCTGAGAGGGGCAAGTTGACAAGTCTGAGCCTGACATGGTTTGCTCCAGCCATCAGCATCTACCTCCTTGAGTCATGTGAGCTTATCTCTGACTACGGAGGCTGCTTCATTCCCCACCCCACCCCAAAAGCTGATAGGAGCAACTCTTTTTGGTCTACAGCCCAAGTTCTTGCACCTCAGGACTGACTTTGGGCTCAGCTGGGAACTAAGTGTTCACTTCCAAGGTGTGCCCGCAGAGAAAACGGCTGAGAATTAGCATTCAGGGCTTAAGGGTGCCATGAGTCTGGGTCAGCCCTGAAAGGGTGAGGCTAATGCTGGGCTGGGGCAGGGACCAGGCTGGGGAACCTAGTCCCTTCTGGCTTGCCAGCACCTGTGTGACTTTGGAGTCAGGAAATCGGGAGAGAGGCCTAAGGCCCAGGACTAGGGAGGTTGGGAACAGACTCTGCACCTCCCACAGGTGGAGCTGTATACTCGCTTTCTCGGTTGATATACAACCTCATTTTGCAGCTGAAGAAGCTTGAGTTATTTGCCCTCAGCTGCACCCATTAGAGGCCACCTGACTGCTGGGGAAGTCCCAGAGCAGTGGTTAGACTCTGGGCTCTGAAGTCAAAGACAAATTTAAATTCAGGACCTGCCACTTAGTAGCTGTGTGAGATTAACAAGTGCATCCCTTTTGGGCTTCAGTCTCGATGGGATTTAGAATAATAAAGGTGGTGATAGAATCGTGACCATAGCCAAGACACAGAAAACTCTGACTGCTGACACCTTCCCCATTCCCACATCATGTCACTCAAACATCTGGTTTTCTTGCCATGCTGTCTTTGACTCCAAAGTCAATGTGGTAAAGTGACCAGATAAAAAAAATCATGTCATGGGTCTCTCCCTATCCAGAGTAAAGAAGAACGAAGAAAACCAAAGACGCATGGAAACAATTAGTCCAAGGGATTGGTACACCATGTGATCCTCAGCCTATACAACTGAGACTAGAAGAACTAGATGATGCCTGGCTACCACTGTCAACCACTCAGAGAGGGATCTAAGTAGGAGATCCTGGATGGACTGGGAGAACAATGTGCAACAAAATGCAAAATCATGGGGGAAAAAAGGGACCAGGTCCGATAGAGCCTGGTGGAACCCCTGAAACTATGCCCTTCAGGTCTGGAATTGAACCCACTACTGTGGCTTCCAGCTAAATGAAAGACAGGCATATAAGCTGAACATTAGGTAGATAACACTCCTTGGGGAGATCAATCAAGGAAGAATAGAAGGGCTGTGTATGCACGGAGACAGCTCGGGACGCAGGAGTGCATGGGAGGGAAGGACACAGGGAAGAGGTAACTGTGGGGGGAAGTGGGAGGAGAGCTGTTGCACTGTGGGAGATTACAGTCAATGTCATGAGACAAAGTGTATGTGAACTGCTGTATGGAAGATGAATTTGTTCTGTAAACTTTCACCCAAATCATAATAAATTTTCTTTAAAACAAACAAACAAACAAACATCGTGCCATACCAAAACAAAAACTGTAACATTTATTTTTTCCCCCCAAACCAAGACACTGACACTAGACGGATTTCCCCTTACAATGTTATTTTCTACAATAGAAGCTGGAACAGAGATACAAGCACAGTCTGCTGAGTCCAGGGGTGGTGGTGGCAGCATTCTGTTAGAAGGGAGAGGAATTTGAAGAAAAAAAAAAAAAAAGACCCCCCTCCCTTGTTTCCCCACTTACCTCCCTAAAAGGAGGAAAACATGGACATTTTCCATCCTGGTAGATCTCACCATATAGTCAGTTTGTAGGGTGACAAGAGAAAAAAAAAGTCCTAAAAATATTGTAAATCTTCCTTTAAATCTCCTCGTAAAAATGTTAAACTGTCTTTCAAGAAGATTCCAAACTGGCATTGCATAGACTGATTCCTTTCAAAAAATATCTCTAATATATCTATCTCTATATATAGAATTTGAAGTCCAGGAGCTGTGGCACCTGGTGGGGATTCACTGAGCTTAAGGGGGCCAGAGGGCTGAAGAAAAGGCTGGGCTCCTGGCCTCTGGCTCCTGCCAGTGATGATTTGGTTGTGGCCAAATTATCAGCTAATCCAATTCTCCTGCCCAAGGCCTGGCACTGGAAGAGTAGGGCTGGCTTTGTCACCCTCTGGGGTGACTGCTGAGCTCAGACCTCGCCTTGGGCGGGGCTGGGGTTTCTGGTTTGGGGGAGTCTTCCCAACAGTGCCAAAGCCATCAGTTTTGTGCCTGGAGCCCCCGAATTTTGAACCAGGCCCCCCAAACACCCTGAATGCACCCCCTACCCACTCAACTGGGCTGAGGTCACACAGACACAGAAAGGAAGGACAATACTCCCCCACCTTCGGGGTAGGGGGAGGGCATCGCTCCATTTGGAGATAGTACTGCCAGCTTCCTTTTAAAGTGCCAGGTATCTGTGGGCAGGAAGGGACTCTCAGAGCTGAGCAGAGCTCCATCCTGCCTCAGCAGGCACCTTCTAACATTCATTTTCTACAAAAAAAATTTAGGTGATTGGGGAAAAAAAAAAAATCAGTAAAAACAGAATCCAACCTAGAAATGCTCTGGTCCCAGTTCCACTGGGGTTCCAGGACCGAAAACCCCAACTTTTGTTAGCAGGGGCAGATGGGAAACTAGGCAAGGGACCCTCCCAGCCTGGGGAGGACCCCCACCCACCCATACCAGAGAACCAGCATCCTGCACCCCCACCCTACATCCAGATGCCCAGCCCTGCTGGAACCCAGCCAGCAGGTAGAGCAGAGAACAGAACCTCCTACCCCTCACCTGGGGGAGGAGAAAATAACGAATTGTGAACTCAAAAAAAGAAAGCGAGAAAGGAGGAGGAGGAAAAGAAAAGAAATCAAAAGAAAAGAAATTTATAGACCTAAACACCAGCCTGCTGGGTTTATACAAAAATGAATGAAATTTGGGAGAGATGGGGGTGGTGGTACAGGGACTGGCAACAGCCAAAATCCACCTTTAAGCAAGTAACAAGGACCAGGGACGGAAAAGTGCTGAGAGCAGAAGCTTTAGTGAAGGGCGGGGCGGGGAGCAGGGCCAGACTGCTCCCCACTGGAGAAACACCTCTTAAAGGACTCCACCTGTGCCTTGCCCAGAAGTGGGGGTGCTTTAAGAGGAGGGCTGAGTGCTTTTCTGGCCAGGAACCCTGCTCCAGGCTGGCCCAGTCACAGCCCACCTGCCTCTCCAGTGTCAGCCCCAGGCTGGGCCAGCTGACTCTGGGGCAGAGTAAGGGGGCTCTGCTTGCCAAGCCCAGCCTAGCCAGGCCCCCAACCTCCCAGACCTTGGAAGGCACCTGCCCTGGCCTTTAGAAATGAAACCTAGCTGCTCAGGACCCAGCCCTGGCAGAGGGGTAACCCCTTGACATTCAGACCTTTCTCAGCATGGGTTCCAGGCCTGAGCTGGGGCTCACTGGAGGAAGGTTAGTTAGCACCACGTTCCAGCCGGGCTGCTAGCCCCGGGCCTCTGACTGCACAGCAGGCAGAGCCCAGGGATCCTTGGGAAGGGGCCGAGGAAAGGGTGGTAAGGGCAGTGGGGCTGTGCTGGGGACAAGCATGTGCAAAGTGCAGGCTGCCAGGGCAGCAGGAGAACATTCGATGGGGGGTGGGGAGAAGTCTCAATCTGGACTGTGGGTGGTGTCTGAGGTCTTGGTTCCCAGGAGGAGGCCGCCAGCGGGTCCCCTAGGATACAGGGAAGGGATAGCTAAGCACTAAGCAGTCAGAAGGTCATGGTTGCAGGAGTCTGGGGATGAGCTGGCCCCTAAGGGTGATGAGACAATGGAGTCAGGCCCTGGAGTGAGCAGAGATGCAGGGAAGAGGCCCCCAGGCACAAGCAGCCCTGGTGCTTAGGACCTGCTGCCTGTCCCTAGCTGAGGGGCCCAGTCAGTCTCCAGGGGTGGCAGTCTTGCTCTTTGCCTTGGCCACCTGCTGAAGGGCCCGCTTGTCCTTCCCTCTAGTGGTTCAGAGGAGAACATTCACAGTGGTGCCTGGGCCCTGGTGGGCCAGGAGGGTCCCAGGTTGGAGGGGAGGACCATGGAATGATGCTTCAGGGACATGTGGGGTTTGAGTACATGGAGGAGGCACAGATGAGATGTGGCTCAGACAGAGAGCTGAAGGGGAAGGTCCCTCGTGGAATGACGTGGGTCTGGACGCCCACAATGGCAAGGGCCCTTCTCCAGCCTGGACACCTGTTCCTCAATGGCTCTCGATCACGACTGGCTCGTAGACCCCAGAGGAGACCCTGTGGGGGAGAGACAGGTCAATTCTTCCTCACTGCTTCACATACCCAGTTGTCCTCTGGGCGAGGGCCTCATAGGTACTTTACAAGCAAGTGCTGCTAACTGGCTCTGTTTTGCAGAGGCAGAAAACTAAGGCTCAGAGATGTTAAGTCACTTGCTCAAGGTGACCCAGATCCTAAGTATCAGAGTCAAGACTAGATGCCAGGTTGTCTGTGGGACCAGAAAGCTGGCATGGACTCTGTCCCTGAGTTTCTCCTGGGTACAGTGCCCCTGTCCCCATAGCCACTCTGCTGGGTCGGGACTGTATCCCCACCCCATTTGACCGAAGAAGAAACTGAGGCTCAGAGGGTTATGAAGTTTGCCAAGTGACCAGCAGGAGGAGGGTGCTAACCATTAGCCAGCTCTTCTCCCCAGTGAGGCCAAGACCATCCATGGAGTTACGGATATTTGGGGATCGGTATCCAGCTCTGCTATCCCTGTGCTGTCCACCTGATTGGTTCCTTCCCTCTCCTGGACTCCAGCTTTCTCATCTTAGAGGGAGGTGTTCATAAACCTCCAAAGAAGTCCCCCATTTTCTTGTTGCCCAGTCCACCCAGGAGACCAGCTAGGAGATGGGAGTGGCAATTCCCAACCTGGGCCAGCAGGGGTCAGCAGAACAGCAGCAGACGGCAGGCCCTGGAACCAAGTCTCTTCACATCTCTGGGCCCAGAGTTTCCCACCAGGCCAACAAAGACATGGGGGGAAGTTTTTGGCAAAACTCAGCAGGTGGGAAGTTCCTCCACTCACTCCCTAGCTCGCTCGCTCCCTTGCACATTCATTCATTCGGTGAACCAAAGATCTAGTGAGCTAGGCACACGGTAAACATGCTCTAAATGAAGGGATGATAGAGAATACTCTATCAACTGTAGAATTTCAGGAAAGGACTGATCCTACCACCCCTCATCTTGAGCATTCTGAAGGGAGAGCTCTGAGCTGCTCACTGTTGTAACCCAGCACCTAGCACAGGGCCTGGCGTGTAGCTGATGTTCAATAAATACTTGTCCAACAAGTGAATCATCACGATGTAATTTTTAGGGTTCCCACATCCAGGATAAAGAGGATGGAGAACAGGGTAAAAATAAACATGGAGTAAGCCCATGCTGTATCCTAAGCCCTTTGCCAAGCACTTTCACAGGATTAATCTTAGAACCCTCATAGCCAACCATGTGCTACTGGTGTTCTCTCTGTCCAGGTGAGATGTGTGTTGCCCATACCAGTTGACAGATGGGAAACTGAGGCTTGAAGAGAGGTGACTTGCCCAAGGGTACACTGTGGTGACAGAGTTGGCATTCAAGCCAGGTTAGATGGTCTCCTGAGACCCTGATCTCACACCACACCCTGAGGCCACCTTGATGACTGCCCCCAACCTTCATCTCCTACCTGTTGGCCAGCTGGATGCCACTCAGCGTGGTGGAGCCATCGCGGCTTACGAACAGCCGTAGGTTGCTGTCTGTGGAGACATGAGGGAGAATGGAGGCTGAGTTGGGGCAGGGACAGCTGGGGGCCCCTACAGCAGCAGCAGTGCCCTCAGCCCACCCGGCACGGGCAGCTCACCCTCAGTGTTACTGCCATCTGTGAAGTCCTGGCTCTGCATGATCTTCTCCACGATGTCGTCTGCATCGATCCGCGTGTCATCGACCCAAGTCGGGTGGCTCTCCACCGAGTCCTTCTTCCGCCTGGGTTGGGGCAGAGCCAAGGCACAACAGTCAGAGCTGTAACAGACACACTACACAGTACTTGCCGTTCTGACAACGTCCTAAACACATTCCACATGGTATTTATTTAGCCTTCACAGCAACCCTAGGATGTTAGTCCTGACTTAATGGATGAGGACGTGGAGGCTCTGAGAGGTAAGTAACCTGACTGCCCAAGGTCAGAGAGTGTGTAAGTGATGGGCTCAAACCACTCTGTCCGGCCTGACAGGCCATACTCTTGACCACTACACCTAACTGCCAGCAACAACTATTAACTGAGAATGTGCTAAATGCCAGACATGGAGTATGCCTTTATGAACGTCAACTGGTTGAACTGTCACCATCCAACCCTCTGAGGTGGGGACACAACTGTCCTCCCGGTACAGATGAAGAAGTAGAGGCTCAGAACCATCAGGAGCTGCTTGCTCCTAGGCGGCAAGTGCCCAGCTGAGCCCACGTGAGGTCCTCAGCCCTTGCACCAAGCTCTGCTCAGTGACCTGTGGCTCTGGCCAGGCCTCGCTGGCGGGAGCTGCTCTTTCCAGAGAGCACTGACCAGGGGTACTCACCGAAACGAGCGGTCTGACAGATGTGGGGGCCGGGGAGGCCGTGGCGGCTTCTCAGGGGGCCGGTGCTCCCGCTCGCCGCCCTCAGTGCCCTCCACGGTCATGCTGAGGCCGCCGGAGGCACTGCTGCTAGTGGACGTGTTACGGCGGTGCGTCAGGTCAGAGAGGCTGGAGGAGCGCGAGTGCTCTGTGCTGTAGCCTGATGAGTGGTCAAGGGAGGTGGTTCATTAGGTGGGGAGGGGGCTCCAGGACTGTGAAAAACCACTGGGGTGGGACCAGGCTGGGGGCACTCACCAGAGATCTTGGACTGCTGGCTGGCATAGCTGGAGTTGCGGGAATGGCCAGAGTGGAATACCTCTTCGGGGCTGGACAGGTTCTGGTCTGGCTCCTCGGGCACCCCTGGAAGGCAGGGAGGAATGGGAGGGGGGCAGGGGGTTACCCAGCAGTGCCTACCCTGGCCCTTCGTCACACAAGTCCTCTCTCACTGATCATCTGAATTTCCATTTCACAGACTGAGAAACTAAGGTTCAGAGACCTGCCCTGAGCCACAGCTCGCCATTTGAACCCAGGCTTGGTCATGCTACAAGTCTGTCACGGAGCTCCTCCATGCAGGTCACTCCATTGGGTGCTGTGGACCGGACAGGGCTCCGACTCAGAGGGTGCAGCAGAGAGGAGGAATGCAGAACAAAAAATGACCATTAACCGCAACTGAGGTGCAGAACAGGGGTACTGGGAGCTGAGTGTGCACTGGGGTGGGGGTGGTCAGAGAAGGCTTTTCTGGATGTGGGGGAGGGAGGGGTCCAGATAAGGCATCACCCAGGCAGAAAGCACAGCATAAGCAAAGCCTCTGAGGTTTGAATGAACCTGGGTGAGAAGAGCTAAAGTGGAGTTAAGGGGGAGATAATGGGGTAAGGGAAGGGAGCCGGCTGGCCTCAAAGGGCCTGTCAGTCAGGGCACACAGCCTTGTCTCAAGTTACCCATAAGTCCAACTTCAAAACAAACTTTCCTGACACTCCCCGGCAGGAGGCATAAGGGGAACCAGGAATCAGATGAAACCCACCATCTGCTGCTCATCCCAGCTTGCCCGGGGTGGGACTCATCCAGGGCTCTGAACATCCTGCCACCAGCCCAAGACAGGAAGGAAGGACTCATCCATCTCCTCTTCAGAGATAAGCATAGGCAGGCCATGGGCTAGACTCAAGGCCTGTTTGTGTTCCAACCCAAAGCCACGTGGCTTTTCAAGTTCCCAAGAGTATCTCTGCATGTGGGTGGGTGGCAGCAGAGGGGAACCAGATGTAAAGGCAAGTGGGGGCTCAAGTCCCACCCTGCCTAGAAGGAGCACTTGTACTTTTCCTACAGATGTCATCCAAGCTGGGTGGCTAGTCTCCAGACTCTCCGGGGATGGCCCCCTGAAGCTGGAGAACTCTGGCACTGGGAAGCCCCATTCCCACGTTCAGCCTGCAGGCTGGGGCGGGCAGCTCTGGACCTAGCCCTCTGTCCTCCTTGCCTGACTGGGTTTGCCGGGAAGAGGGGAGTGGAGGAAAGCTGGGCCCTGAGGTCAGAGGGTCTCTCATGGCTCCTCTTAAATGTCTGCTGTCTGCCTGAGCCCCATGCCCTCTCTAATTGCTGCTGGGGCACAAATCAGGGCCATATGTGCCACCCTGCTCACTAATCAGCTTGGGGTCAGTCCACCCCTCAGCTCTGAGCTCACCCTCTTGGGAGGGGGTGGGAGGACAGGGGGTTGAGGTTCCTCTTGGGGGGTCCTGCTCACCCCACACAACATTAGGTACAGAGAGGCGCAGCAGATACTTGGGGACAGGCCAGCACCTCCTCTCTGGTAATATCTCTTCCTCCTACTTGCCACACTGGCCCCTCTGGGGATTCAGACTCCCTCTCATTTTTTATAACAACATTAGTTAACAGTGATAATTTAATAAAAGTATAGTGCCAGGAATTACAAATGACTGCTTATTATGTGGCAAGCATGGCACGTGCCCTTGCTGAGTTAATCCCCAAAGTTCCTAGTACTGATCCCCACTTCACAGGAGGCCACTGAGACTAGAGGTGAAATGGCTGGCCCAAGGGCCATGCAGCATGTGGAAGAGGCATTCACAACATGTCCCTCTGCCAGGAACACTGTGCCCACAGATGTCAGCCCAAACATCCCCCTGACACTGCCACTCCTGCCTTCTGTACCTGATTTTCACAGCTTATCACATCTATAAATAGACATTTACTTATGATGTCATGTCTGTGTCTCCTGCTAGATTAGGGGGGCCATGAGGGCAGGGATATGATGTCAGTGTAGGTACAGGTCACTGCTGTGATCCTAGGGCCAGACACAGCACCTGGCATACAGGAAGTGCTCAGAAAACGGCTGCCAAATGGAAGTGTGGATGAATGGAGATCCCAATCCACCAGCTCCCTCTGCTCAGCAAGTCTGTCTCCCTTGGTACCTGGAGACACTGTGGCAGTAAAAGCCTTCAGCTACTGGGAGCGGTGGATAGATGAGGAACGGTACCTGAGCTGAGGATGGTGGGCCGGGCCTTGGGCCGGGACCCTGTGAGGGAGTTGGTGGTGCTGCTGCCGCCGCTGCTGCTGGTCCCGCCGCCCTTACAAGTCAGCTGCAGGGAAGAATCCTGGCCTGGGATGGAGATGGACTTGGCAGTGGACGGTGGCCTGAGAGGACAGATGGGCATGATGGCGGTGCCCTGTCCTTGAGGCCAGATAAAAACAGGAGAACCACAGAGCCTGGTGGAAGGAAGAATCCTTGCCCCCTCACCCCCAGTGCCAAGGATCAAGTTCCCACCCCTCCCCTGGCCCATGCTGACACTCACGTCTTGAAGCAGGGGTCTCCAGACAGCAGGAACATACCAATAGTGACCTACGGGGAAGGGGGACAGATCAGCCACGCCCACCTCCACCCAGCCCAGCCTGGGCCCATGGCCTCCTTCAAGCCTCCCTGGCTTCAGAGGGTCTGGAGTTTAATCTTGTCTCTGCTTCTCCCTGACCGGGGGACTCTGGCAAAGCCACCCAAGCTCACTGGGTCATTTCCTCAGGTGGAGGATGGAGATGAGCCTGCTTCATGGAGCAGTGAGTGTACTGCCTGGCTTGGTGCGTGGTACCAAGCGAGTGTGTGCAGCAAAACTTAAGCTTTTAGTTTAAATTATGACCAGACTGTGAGCTCCTTGAGGGTGTCAAGGAATACATATTAAGTACTTAGTATAAGCAAGTAAGGGAGCTCTGGTAGTGTAGTACCTAAGGTGTCTGACTGCTAACCAGAAGGCTGGTGGTTCAAATCCACCAGCCACTCCTTGGAAGGAAGACTGGGTGATCTTCTGTAGAGATAATGCCTCAGAAACCCAAGAAGGGGTCACTATGAGTTGAATCCGACTGGACGGTAGTGAGTTTATTTTTTTATAGGCAAGTAAGGAGCTCTAGTGGCACAGTGGTTAAGACATTCAGCTGCTAACCAAGAGGTTGGTGGTTTGAACCAAACAGCTGCTCCACAGGAAAAAGATGAAGCAGTCTGCTTCCGTAAAGATTTACAGCCTTGGAAACCCTATGGGGAAACTCTATTTTGTCTCTTGGGTCACTATGAATCAGAATCGATTCAACGGCAGTGGGTAATTTTTTTTTTTTTAATGCCACTAATGGCATGTGCGCTTTGCTCAGTTAGTCCCCAAAGCAACCTAGGATGCAGTTACTATTACTGATGTCATTTTACAGAGGCAGCTGCTGAGACTAGAGGTGAAATGGCCAGCCAAAGGGCATGCAACCCATGGGAGAGTAAGAGCCCATTCACTCTCCATCCTCAGTGCCTAGCCTGTAGCCCTCAGAGTGTGCAAGGGGGCTCACAAAAGTTCACACAGTGGGAGAAGGGCTCTGTGAGCCTGGCATGGGGTGCAGGGGTGGGAGGTGCTCAAATCCAACTCCGTGGGCAGAGGCTCAGTGAGAGTTTGTTGAATAAAAAGTAAGGCATGAAGCTGTTAGAAATTTCACATCTGCCTGGGCAAACATTCTGGCAACGGCCCACACACGGCAAGGTTTGGGTCCCAAAGTTTAGGCTGAGATGGAGCAACAGGCAGAGAGGGTGGCAGGACGGGGAAGAGGTGCTCTGACACCAGAGCCACACTGACAAGCATGGTGCCCACTGGGTTGAGCTTTTCATGGGCACTCTCATTTGGCCCTGGGAGCAGCCTACAAAGTAGGTGAGAGCCCCAGGTCGCAGATAAGGTGCTGAGAGAGAAAGCCACTGTCTAAGAAGCCAGGAAGTAGGGGAGTTGGTCTTGAATTCAAGGCCACAATGACCCCAGGTTTCCCTGATCTGGCTTGACAAGGGTATATAGGGCTACTGACTCAAAAGCCCTGATGCTAACCATGATCAGCCTGGACCTTTGGTTTCTGGTGCCTCTGGCTCCCTCTGAAAAGGGTCCTAGAGGCCCAGAGCCCCTGCCCACTACTCCTTGCCCAGCTCTGCTCCAAGTATAACGAGCTCTTGATGGGTTGGCGCCCCAAGGGAGCTGTTAGAGACAGAAGGATGTGGAGACAAGGAAGAGCAGCATGCTGCTGGCGGAAGCCCAGATCTCTCGGCTCCCAGGAGGCCAGAGAGGCAGCTGCCTGGGGGAAGGGAGCTCTTCTACCACCTGAAACCCGCACGTGGCTAGCCAAGGCGGCCAGCATCTGGGCCCTCAGAGCAGCCACCCACAGTCCACACAAGTCTAGAGATGGCAGGATCTTCCACCCACTGATACTCCACTTGGCAGCTCAGGCTGCCTCAGCGAGGTCACATAGGGCAGTGGTTAGGAACAGGCTTGTGGAGTCAAACGCTGGGGGTTTAAGTCCCCCAGCTCTACTTGGGACCCCAGGTGAACTACTTAACTTCTAAGCCTTAACTCCTTCTTGTGCAAAACTGGAACTAATAATAGACACCACACCTCAGGGGCTGTTGTCAGGGGATCATGAGATAGGGATGCAAGAACTCAGCATAATGCTTATCTCACTGAAAGTGCTCACAACCCTTAAGGAAACTGTCTGGCTCCAACTCTGACCCCCAGTTATAGATAGGGGAAACAGGCCAGTGTCCAGGTCAGGATTCTGATGGTGATTTTTGACCCCTGGGCCCACATCTTCTCACTGCATCTTCCCACAGTCTCACTACTAGGTTCTGTGTCCAGCTCCCACTCCTGCTCTTTGGTGGGAGGGGCCCTGGGTACCTTGAGGATAGAGTTGTCCTGGCGGGTGTTCTTCGTGTCGTATCCCTCCAGCAGGCAGCAGCGCACCGTGGAGCCTGAGCCTGCAAACTCAGCCAGGTTCAAGTCGGCAAAGCCCAGCTGGGAGGAGAAGAGTGTGTGGGAGGCTTCAGGGAATATGGGCGAGGGGCTGGCCGACATGGTCAGAAGGGTTAACTTGGCAGAGGTGGGGGAGGGATAGGAGGGGAGGGGCAGGCAAAGCCTGGGCCCTACCCACAGTCCTGACTGTTGCATAACTAGGGCCCAAGAATAGAGGCCCGGGTTGACAGCACCGATGCAGCAAAGCCAGGAGCTCACATCCCTGAGCTGCACAAAGCGCCCTTTGTGCTGTGTCCCAGAGTGCACTGGGCCAGTATGCCTGAGATGAAAGGACATTGTCTGTGACACAGACGCATTGTTCCCTGGGAAACAAGGCTGTGCTGTCAGGAGCTGCCAGATGAGTGAGCGTGGGAACTTGGCAGCAAGGTGGGGTGATGGGATACCCCCACCTCTGGGTGCACAGGGGGAGGGGAAGGGGTACTTTGCAGGGCGGATGGGAACCCCAGAGAAAGCTCTGGCCCACAAATCCCTCTGATGGGCAGAGTCCAGGGTGTGGACAGGCCTTTGAGGCATGGCTGGCTCTGTGGAAGTCTGGAATCCAAGATGGGGAAGGAAATGGGAAAAAGCCGAAGAATAGGCCAGGAACTAAGACATACTGTTAGACTGAAGCCAAGTCTGCTGGGATCTGGAGAGAAAACTGAGGTTGAGGTGAGGGGCTACCAGATCTGGGGGCTGTGAGCACAACCCAAATAACCAAAAATATTTATTGAGCACCTGCTTCATGTGGGTCTCTACCACAGGGTTTAAGGGACTATGCTCTAGAATCAAAATCTGGGTTCAGATCCTGGCCTCACCATTGACTAAGAGTGAACTTATTTTATAGATAAGGAAACTAAGGTTCAGGGAGAGGAAGTGATTTGCCCAGGACTACCACCTTTAACCAACAGAGCCAGGGCTGAACTCAGGCCTGACCAGTGCCAAGTCCCACCATCTCTCTGGGTCTTGTTTGCTCCTCTGTATAACAGGAGTAAAGCCTATTAAAGTGAAGATCCAATTTAGTGCTGGAAGCAGGGGGAGGCTGGCAGTGGCTGACATGTGCTAGGTGCTCTATAAATGTTTGCTGGGTGGGGGTGGGATGTTCCAGCTGTTTGTTGATCATTTCTTTCCTAGCTGGGTGGCTGTTCTCACCCACATGAGGTGACAGCAGGAGAAATTTCCATTCTGACAGTGCTGTCCCCAGCCAGGTTCTAGCCACCCTGCCTTCTGTTTTGGAGGGGCCAATAGCACCAGGGCAGAGTGCATAGTACAGCTCGCTGAACTTCCTGACCATGCCCTGTGCACCACCCTCAGGCCTTCCCTGCAGGGTGAGAGGTGAGGCGAAGGCATTTCCCCTTCCCAAGTGACTAAGCCCACCCTTCCATGTGTCTTTACTCCTGGGAGCTGTGGTGAGTGCTGCAATCCCAGAGTTCCCACACAAGAGGACTCAGGGCAGAGCCAGAGGTAAACCTTCCAGAGCCATCTGCTCGATGGAGGCTGAATTGTCTGTGGGTGCAGCGAAAACCTGACAACCACCTAGACATCCAACAAGTAGGAACTGGCTGGATCAATTCAGCCACACAATGCAATATACTCTGCTACTATTAAAAAGTGCAAGGACCTTTGCCTGTGTTGACGTGAAAAGATGCCCATGACATATGGGCAGGTAAAAACCAAGCTGTAGAATCAGTTTAGAACAAGTCCCATTTGTGTATAAAAAATCATATTGTTTACAGTGTGTACAAGGATATGTATATAGGGTATTTGTTTTATATTTCTTTAAGTTACATGCATGTTTTATTCATTGTCCTATATATTTCATAATTTCCCCTCCCCCCCAAAAAAAGGTTTGGAAAGATCCTACTCAACCCCAATAGTGAGGTCTGGGAGGAGGCCCAGAGTAGGGTGAAGCGGGTAATAGAAACCATTCCTTTTCACTCATGAACCGCCTCATCTGTGCTGCAACAAGCCCATGCTGTCTTAATATTAACTGTAAAAGTACCACCAAAAACATTTCTAAAAAACAATCCATCCCACACAGAGCACAAAGGGGAATGGAAATTCTTCCAGGAGCTATTCCCATGCCTGTCCTCTCCCACCCCATTGCATCCCCTTCCACCTCTTCACGCAGCCCTGCTTACCTTAGAATAAGCCTTCCCACCTTTCAGCTCCTGCACAGAGAAGGGAGACACAGGCAGTGGGTGACTAGGGAATCCAAAGGACTTCATGGGACCACCCCGTTTCCCCTTGGGGATTAACAAGTCAAGGGATACGTCTGAAGCCACCAGATCAGTGCCCCCACCCTGCCCCTGTGGGCCCCAGCCTCACCTTGCGGACAGACACACGGAAGATGCAGGGGTCCAGCAGGCCGGTGGCTGGGTTGGCACTCATCTTACACACAAAGGTGAACCTCCTCCGCCATCGCACACAGTTCTCCTGCACCTCCTCCCTGTGGGTCAGACAGGGGCACATGAGCACAGGACGCGATGTGCACGCACACACATGGGCAGGCAGGTCAACGCTGCCAAGGGAACCCAACATCATCGACAGGGCTTGTCTCCAGCGAGGTGGAGGGGTGGGGTTGGGGGTGGGTGAGGGGCTTACTGCCAGAGGGAGTGAAGGGGGGGGTTTCTCACGTCCCATTTCGTATCACAAAGTGACTTAATTTTCACAATAAGAGTGTGCTTGTGGAATCATTAAAGTGTGAAAACAAAGCAGGGTGAAGTCAGGCTGAGGGTGGCTGACCCTTTCCTTAGACAACTAACTGATAAGCTGTCTGCAGGCTCTGGGTCTGGTCAGCAGAGCCCTCCTCTGCTCAGCTGCTGCCCCTCCCACTCCCCTACTCCCCTACCCCCTCTATCCCCCAGACTCCTGCAGGCTATCTCTTGTGTCCCGCACAGGAGAGACCACTACCAGCCCATTTCACAGATTGTGCTAAGTAAACCACCCAGTGCTGCTTGACTCCAGAGCTCCCTTCTTTACCAGTAATGACAATAATAAGAATAGCAGGAGCTCTGGTAGCGTAGTGCCTAAGGCACTTGACTGCTAACCAGAAGGCTGGCAGTTCAAACCCACCGGCCACTCCTCGGAAGGAAGATGGGGCAATCTACTTCCGTAGTGATACTGTCTCGGAAACCCAAGGAGGGGTCGCTATGAGTCAGATCCGACTCGATGGCACATAACAACAACAACAACAACCCTCACAGGTGGTTAATGTACTGTTCCAAGTATTTTATGAAAGCTGACAGTCACTGAAAACTGCTCCAAATGCTGGAGATACATGATCAGACTGAACTCTTCCAACAATTCCCTGGGGCATCTACTATCAATGTGATTCCTCATCCAAGGAAACCAGAAGCATTGAGGGGCTAAGACCCTCACCCAAGGTTCACCACTGGTAAGAGGTGGAATAGGGACTGGAATCCAAGCAGCCTGGGTCTGGGGGCCACACTAGAGCTGAGACACCAATTCAGAACTCTTGATTTCTCTGACACTAGCCAGGTGTCTAAATAAATCAGCACCCCTTTAACAGGGAGGCACTCTGTGCCCGGGGAGTGGGTAGGAGCCAGTGGGAGCAGCTCATCCAAGCCTCTCCTAGCTGCTGCGGGGGCCTTGGCAGGATCTGGGGGCGGCGGCAGCATGCGCGGCAGAGACAGGCTCCAAGCCCTGCACAGCTCTCAGCCTGCAGCAGGCTGAGAACCCGGGGCTGGCAGAAGAGGAAGCGAGGAGAGGGATAGTGTGAGAGGCATTGGCTCAAGCCTCATCCTGCCTAACCGGAACGCCCAAGGGGACAGCTGAGGAAATGACCTCTCCATACCCTGGGTGACGTGAGGGGCACAGGTTAAACATCAGACTGGGGCCTGAGAGGGCCATCAGCCAACCACCTCCTGAACATTAGCTTGTTTGCTCCTCACAGTAACCTTGTAAGATAGCCCTATCCCACCTCCTCCTATAGCTGAAGGCCCTGACACACCAACCCTCCCAAGATCACACCTCCAGTAAGTGACAAGGTAGGATCTGAACCCAGAACTATCCGATTTCAGGGCCAGAGAACTCAGCCGTTGCCTCAGTTCCCAGGCTCTGCAGAGTCTGGGAAAGCCTGGCACGGAAGCCATAGGTGTTGGGAGCCAGCAGCCCTGCCATGCATATCCCGAATCATCTATATACCTGAGTGCCAGGTGTGTGCTAGCTAACGAGCTACTGCAGTGGATTTTATTCATAGAAAGGCATCTGACCCCAGTGAAGACTTTGTCACTAGGAGAGGGTAGGGGGAAGAGGGGAGTCAAGGGCCGTGATAGCTGCAGGGAGGGGACATTCAAGCTCAGTCAGAAATGAAGAGGGGAGAGGGTTCAGAGGCAGTTCCAGGCAGAGGAAACAGCATGGGTGAGGGGCAAATACGCTCTCCAATCTATTAGGGAGTCTGGTTCCCTGGCTGATGAAAGCCCTAAGCCTAGCCTTCTATAATGAGCCTTGTCCAGTCAACCCTGTCCTGGTTCCACAAGGCTTTGAGGACAGGGCCAGGATGACAGGCACCAGGACTTGGGTCCAGCACAGCCCTGGGCTTACAGCCCTCATGCTCTCTGTTGACTCAGACTAGGGCTCGACCTCTCTGTCCTCCTCTGTAAAATGGGCACACTACCCACTCCCTCATGGGCACCTGAGAATGCTCAGGGAAGCTAAACCCCACAGAGTGCCTGACCTTCTGAAGGCTCCTGTGAGACACGACTCAGTTACCAGAGTACGCCAATCTCGCAAGAAGGGTGAGCTCTAGCAAATCCCCGTAACCCCAAGACTGAGGACAAGCAAAACAGGTCAGGGCCAGAGATGAGGGGGAGGAAGGGGGAGTATCTGACCCACCTGACAGACACAGGTGGGAACTCTCAGGTGCCACAGGAGGAGTGGGGTTCCTGGGGTGGGCATCACCTAACCCTAGTCATGCTGGCTTCATTCATTCATTCAAAAAGCTGAGCATGAGCTGTGTGCCCAGCTCAGTTCTAAGCACTGGGAAGCCAGCAGTGAGCACCTTACATCCTGGTGGGAGAAAAAAGACCAGGAACAAACAAAGCAGAAAAATACATGGCAGTAGAAAGGACGACGCAAAACTATCTACATTCATAGATGACATGATCTTTTACATAGAAAACACGAAGGAATCCACTAAAAATGAATTCAGCATATTTGCAGGAGACAAGACTAATACACAAATAGCAACTGAATTTGTATACACTAGCAATGAACGGTCTAAAATGAAATTAAGAAAACAATTCCATTTAGGATAGCAGGAGAAAAGATAAAACAAGTGGGAATAAATTTAACAAAAGTGATCAGACTAAAAACTATAAAATGTGTTGAAAGAAATTAAAGAAGATCCAAGTAAATGGGAAAACATCCCATGTTCACAGATCAGAAGACTTGCTATTGTAAAGATGACGATACTCACAAAGTGATCTATAGTTTCAATATAATCTCGCTCAGAATCCCAGCTGGCTTCTTTGCAGAAATTGACAAGCTGATCCTAAAATTCATTATGGAAATTCAAGGGACCAGAATGGTCTTGAAAAAAGAAGAACAATGTCAAAAAAAAAAAAAAAAAAAAAACAACAAAGAAACCCACAGTTCTTGATTCAAAACTTACTATAAAGCTATCATCATCAAAACAGTATGGTTCTGGCATAATGATCAATCTATAGATCACAGGAATACAATTGAGAGTCCAGAAATAAAAGCACACATTTATGGTCAATTATTTTCAACAAGAATGTCCAAACAATTCCATGTGGGAAAGAACAGTCTTTTCAACAAACAGTGCTGGGACAACTGGATTATCAACATGAAAAAGAATGATTTGGGACTCCTACTTCATACCATATACAAAAATTAACTCAAAACAGATCACAGACCTAAATGTAAGAAAATATAGGGGTGACCTTGGATTAGGCAACAGTTACTAAGGACACCAAAAACATAAGAGACAAAAGGAAAATTTGAACATCATCAAATTAAAAACTTTTGTGCTTAAAAGACCATCATAAAGAAAGCAAAAAGACAATCCACAGAATGAGAAAAAATCTGTATATTATACATATACATGACAAAAGACTTTTATCTAGAAAGTGTAAGAAACTCTTACAACTTAAAAAAAAAAAAAAAAAAAGCCAAATAACCCAATTAAAAACTGGCAAAGGACTTGAATAGATATTTGCCAAAGAAGATATATAAATGCCAGTAAGCACATGAAAAGATGTTCAACAGCATTAGTCATCAGGGAAATGCAAATCAAAACTACAATGGATACCACTTCACTCCCACTAGTATGACTATGATCAAAAAATAGGTAATAAGTGTTGATGAGGCTGTGGAGAAGTTGGAACCCTCATATACTGCTGGTAGGAATGCAAAATAATTCAGCTGCTTTGGAAAAGCAGTTTGGTGGTTCCTTAACAGGTTAAACATGGAGTTGCTATACAACCCAGCAATTCTATTCCTACTTATCTACCCGAAAAAAATAAAAACAGAGCATTATTCATAGTGGCCAAAAAGTAGAAAATGTCTACCAACTACTGAATGGACAAATAAAATGGAGTATATCCATGCGGTAAAATACTATTTGGTAATAAAAAGAAATGAAGTACTGATATATGCTACAACACAGATAAACCTTGAAGATGTGCTAAGTTAAACCTAGACACAAAAAACCATATATGGCATGATTCCATTTATATGAAATATCCAGAATAGGCAAATCCATAGAGACGGGAAGTAGATCAGTGTTTGCCAGGGGCTTGAAGCTGGGGGTGGGGGTGGGGGATGTTAGTTAGGAGGGAATCGGGAGTAACTGCTAATGGATACCAGCCTTCTTTCTGGGGTGATGAAAATGTTCTAAAATTGATTGTGGTAATGGTTACACAGCATATCAAGACCCAAGGAAATGTGTACTTTAAATAGGTGAATTCTATTGTATATGAATTCTATCTCAATAAAGATGTTACAAAAAAAAACCAACAAACAAACCAACCCAAACCAACCATGGTAGGTTAGATGGTAATAAATGGAGAAAACTGAGCACGGAAGACAGGTAGGCAAGGCTAGGGCAGAGATAAGGAGGTAGTGTTGCTACTGTAGGTGGTGGACAGGGTAAGTCCCTAAACCTAACATCTGATCAAGGACTGGAATGACATGAAGATGTAAGCTGTGCCAAGGCTTGAGAGGAGAGTTGTTCAGAGGCAGTAATACCCAACCCACAGCCATCGAGTTAATTTCAATTCATAGCCACCCCCCATAGGGTTTCCAAGGCTATAAATCTTTTTTTTTCCTAAAGTTTTATTGTGATTTGGGTGAAAGTTTACAGAGCAAATTCATTTTTCATACAGCAGTTCATACACATTTTGTTTCATGACACTGATTGCAATTCCCCACAAAGTAACAGCTTTCTTCCCACTTCCTCCCCGT